AAAATTTACAAGCCTTGCTAGTGGATAGAAAAGTTCTCTGTGACAAATATTCTGCTTGATGCAGGGAAAAATAGTTTAGGGGGCAAATGCATTTTGAAGGAAATTTATTTTTTATAATTTTCCTCTAGTCAGGGAAAGGACTATCAGGCAAAATCAGGTTTTTAAGAACATAGCCTTTTAAAATTTTTGATTTAATGCAATAAGCTATTTAAACCATTTTTTCTGGCTAAAACAAAATATACATCACGTCATATAATAGAATGAATGGCATATGGAATCAAGTTAGATGCCCATCAATGGATATTGGATAACAAACAGGTGACATATACACAGGGTATATCATTCAGCCATAAAGAATGATATTCTATCACCTGCAGGAAAATGGATGGAATTGGAGGACATTAAGTGAAACAAGTCAGACACCAAAAGACAATACTATGTGTTCTCTTTCATGTGTAGAACCTAATAATAAGTTGACATGACTGTAGAATAGTGATTATTGGAGGCTGGGATTGGTGGAGGGAAGGGAAGATGGGGAGATTGGATCATAGACACCAAAACACAATGAGATAGAAGGAGTAAGTTCTAGTATTACACAACACAGCGGGAGCACTACTGATCACAACTGCCTATAATGTATTTTATGGATAACTACAAGAGATGAGCTTGAGGGTTCCAACCATGAAGTTAAGGAGATGGAAATGATAATTAGCTTGATTTGATCAGTATACATTGTACAAATGGAAATATCACACCGTACTCCAAAATATGTACAATTAGGATTATAATTGAAAATAACATAATGGCTATCCATTCTCTATTTTTGGTGAACAAACTTTATCTAACCTCAATCCCCTTTGTAGCTGAATCTCCATGGGATATAGGACTTAAGCCTGACCAAACTAAGGCATCACATTACCCTAGAGGTAAAGGTAGGTTAAGGCATTCAGATCAAACTGCCAGTTAAATTAATCCCTATGCAAGACCAATTCTGAGATTCCTACCTGAAGAAAAAGGGATGTGACCTTTCTCATGGAATTGAACCTGGCAGGACATATCTTAAAACTACAGAGAATGAAGTCAATGTGAAGGAGAGAAGCAAGACATGGAAAGAGAGATTGGGTCATAGTGTCATCACTTATGTACCTGGATGAAGCCATGACTGCTCAGTTATGAGAGGCCACAATATTTTATGTCTGTGTAAGTTGATTTCAATTGAATTGCCCACCATTTGCAATTGAATAAACCCTAAAGGAAACCAGAAAATGCATTCATAAAAAAATGTAAATAATATAGCCCAAGAAGGATCTTGATTAGAAAGAAAAAAAGCAAGTGTTCATAAATTACTTCACAACTTTTATATGATCCTACTGATCAGCTATTGTTGTCTATATTATACATATAAAATTTGGAGTTCCTGACCAATTCTCTGGGTAAGGAAAGAGAAGATGGCCTGTTTCTAGGAAGTAACAAACCTAAAAATAGGGTTATAATATTGATAGGAGGGAAGGAATCTTCAAAGGTGTTTCTACCTAAGGAAAAGCAATTAATGGAGGTCAGAATGACTTGTATGCTATTATAGATGATTTAAATGCTATTTCTCATATGTTTTAAGGATCTGTACCCGTGTCATGCTAACTCCAAGGGAACAGCATGACTCTTCTCTATTGTCCCTAAAGGAAAAGTGGATGGTAAAACCCCATGTCCCCAAATGACCCCTTTATGTAAGCTTGTAATTTGTGTTGGGTTTGGGATTTTCACATTCCTCTGATATCCCAGTGCATGTATATAAATTTTCTCTTTTTCTTCTTATTAATCTGCCCATTGTCCATCTATTTCAGCCAATTCCTATATCAAAACTTCAGAGGTAAAGTTTGAACTTTACTAATTCAGAAATAGTTTGAAATTGCTCCTTACCCAAGGTCAGTCTCATTACATGCCCCAGGGCTAAGCACATTCCTATGTGACTCTAGGAGGTCAGACTTCCTACCCTCTTACACAAATATTCACAATGTGGGAATGATACCTCATACAGCAAAAAGGGACATAACCATTGTGATGAAGTGGAGGATTTTGAGACAGAAAGATTATCTTGGATTATCCAGGTAAGTTCTAAATGTAGTCACAGGTGTTCTTGTGAAAGAAAGAAAAAGGAAGATTATGTACACTCTCACAGAAGAGGAGAAAGCAGTGTAACCACAGAGGCAGAGATTGGAGTGATGTAGCCACAAGCCAAGGAATGTCAACAGCTACCAGAAGCTGGAAGAGACCAAAAATGGATTTTTCTCTGGAGCCTCTATAAAAGATATAATCCTTCCAACCACTCAATTTCAGCTCAGTGATACTACTTTTGGACTTCTAACCTTCAGGACTGTAAGAAAATTGACTTCCATTGTATTATGCTGTTAAATTTGTGAATTTTTGTCATAGTAACCAGAGGAAACTCATATTATGACTGACAGTACAAATGTTGGTGAGGATGTGGGGGGAAAAAAGAATGCTCATACACTGTTGGTGTGACTGAAAATTGATGCAACCCCACTGGAAAGCAGTATGGGATTCCTCAAAAAACTAGGAATAGAACCACCATTTGACCCAGTTATCCCACTCCTCTGCATATATCCAATGGATTTAAAATCAGCATACTACAGTGACAAAGCTACATCAATGTTTATAGCAGTACAATTCACAATAGCTAAGCTATGGAACCAACCTAGTTGCCCATCAACAGATGAATGGATAAGGAAATTGTGGCATACATTCACAATGGAATATTACTCAATCATAAAAAAGAAACTATGATATTTTCCAGTGAATAGAGGGACCTGGAGAATATCATGCTAAGCAAAATAAGCCAATCCCCAAAAACCAAAGATTGAATGTTTTCACTGATATGTGGAAGCTAAACCAGAATAAAGTAGGGGAGGGGAAGAAAAGAAGTTTAGTAGATTAGACAAAGGGGAACCAAAGGAAGGGAGGTGAGTAATAATAGGAAAGACAGTAGAATAAACCTAACATAATTTTCCTATGAACACATATGAAAATACCTAAGTGAATCCCACCATCGTGACCACCCACAAGAATGGGATCTAATTAGAATAAGAGATATCCTATTTATGTATAATCTTGTAAAAAAGCATTCTACTGTCATATATAACTAAGAATCAAGAAAATAAAATTTAAAATTCTTTTCATTTACTCTACCTATCAGAACACTTATAAATCTATTTGCCTTTGAAAGTATGCTTAGATGCCCATGATGATTTTTCATTATGTTTATCGTTTCTGTTAAGTGTGAATTTACCTAGAACATATTCTAATGTAGACTTAAGAGTGTAATCTAACATTTTTTTATGAGTTGACAGATGTGAGTCAATGAGTAGTGACACAGAATTTAGAGCAACTTTCTCCCCACAATTATTTTTTCAAGCCATTCTAGCTATTTACAGGCATTTCACTTTATCAAATTAAATATAATGAAAAACTTTTTCTTTGGAGAGACAATAACAGAGTTAATTTATTTATCTAGGTATCTAAGAATGATTTCTTCTGCCTTTTATACAGGATCCCTTTCTTTCCCATCGTCAAATACTTTCCTTCAGCAATGATCCCCTTTCATCATGATTCTCATCTGTTGGTTGGTCTTGGGCCTGGCAATTCCCTCTGGTTGTCTGTTTTTTTGTTTGGTTTGTATCTATCACTTCCCTTTTAAGACATGTGGGCTGGGGATATAGCTCAGTTGGTAGAGCTCACTTTGCATGCACAAGGCCCTGGGTTCAATTCCCAGCATCACAAAATAAATAAATAAATAAGACATGGCCAATACCACATTAATCCTGTAGGTAGTCTCTTGGGAAAGATCCTGGATGGTCAATTTAAAGTTTCCCAACTGTTAGTCATGGTTCTGGGGGCTCCTCTCTTGTTGTCTCTGTGTTTTTTAGAAAATGTTGCAATTGGAGTTGGTCTGTCAGTGGAAAGTGAGTTGAAGAAAGGACCACCTATAGGTATGAGCCTGTCTAAGATGTTTTGCTATAATGATTTGCTTTTGAATGGCTTTCTGGATTATTACACAATCTTGAAGTTGGAGTAGATCTGTCAAAGGTAAGGTAAGTGGAAGAAATTTGTACATGCATGTCTGTCTGTTTTAAAGGTTACCATCTACAAACCCTGGTTTTGGTGATCCTCTCTGTTTTTTTTTTTTTTTCATATTTGTTACTGGCCATTTAAGACATGGGCCATGCTACATTGATCTTACCAGTACTCTTTTGAGCAGAGAGATCTTAGCTGAATAGGCCACCTATAGAAATAAGCCTGATAAGAAAACACAGTTTCCAGTAGCCCTCACCTTCCTTCCCCATGAGCCACATGTGTCAGTAAACTTGCTAAAACTAAACAACATGCCAGGATATTTTAGATTAACATGCTAGAACGAATCTGGTTCCCCGGGGACATCAGAACTGCTTTCTGATTGTCTGAACCCTATTGATTAACATGGCACTTCCCAGTGACTCACTGCCCTAAGCCACTTGCTCAAGACCCAGAAGTTCCACCAAAACCATCCTGCCATGTGGGAGTCACAGGGGTCCTGCTGCCTCTGACACTGCAGATAGGAGTTAATGATAAAAGAGGTTGAAATGCATGAAATAATAGATAAAATAGGGGGAAATACAGTAAGAAGGGACATAGGGAGAGAGAAATGAATGCCTTCTATTTAGGAAGCAAAATACTCCTCCCTGTGATGTCCTCAGAATCAATTTCAGTCTTCTAGTCAATATACGTACTTTCAACCTGGGCCCAGATGTTATCTTGGAAAAGGAATAAGACATGGATAACAAGAACATTTATTGGGAAAACAAAAAGGCATGCTAATTTTAAAATACAGGCTGGGGAAACAATTAAAATTCTGGGTATATAGGGTTTTCTAACTAGAAGGATTCTTGAGGTAGGAGTCTGTGGCCTCCAACAAAATGTCTTCTCTTTAGTGCCAGTAGAATGGGGACCTTGTTGGCCCTCTCATGGCGCTTTCTCCCTGGCAGGTAGGAGACCACTTGCTTCCTGAGCCAGTGGAAGAAGCCTCTAAAATTCAGACAGGAAGTGCTTTCTGCGTCTGAAGGCACGTCCTCTTCCTCTGACTGCTCTGCTGAGACTGAGGCACTTTCTGCAGTGCCAGTCTCCTGGCTTTCCATCTGCCAAGACAATGAAGAGTAGTTAGAGACATTCAGGGTCAGCAGTCATGGAGCCAATATTGACTCATTTATGGAATTCTAATTTACTTTTGTACCAAAATCAGCCAACTCTAAGTGCAAAGTTTTATTACTCTTTCATCATTAAACGCACACATGCACACACACACTAGTTTGTTTAATCCTTAGTACATCTCTCTGCTCCTCCCCTCTCTTTCTCTCAGTGTTCCTTGGCATTTTCCCAATACCTCTTTCCTGTCTCCTTTCCTTGCGGTGGTCCTTCTCCCATTGCTCATCTGGCTCAGACACCGGGGTCCCTCTTCTGCTTCACAGCAGGTACAAGGACTCCATGCTGTCCCACCTGGCACCCCCCCACACACACACACACAGGGCCTACCCCTTGCTCTGGGAAGATCTGTGCTCACCTCAACAATTTCATCATCCTCAAGCCCAAGAGGCATTTCTGGGAACTGTGTGGTATCTCCATTTTCTGGTGGTTTCCACTTGGGCAAGTCCTGACAAGCCTCATGTTCTTCAGGAACGACCTGATCCATATGGGAAGAGACACTTCTGGGTGGCTGAACATCCTCCTCATGAGGAGGGTCAGAAAGCACCGAGTCATCTTCTTCGTCATCATTTGTATTGTCTAGAAATGCCTTAATATTTTTCATGAGATCATGGAATTCGCAGAAGGCCTGGGTGACCGTCTCCTGTTGGCACTTGTCCATCCTCTGGTAGTCGTCACTTTGAGACCAGTCAGCTAGTGAATCTTCATGGCAGCTCAGATAGGCGTACAAGATCTCAGTGATGGCTGTTTCACGAAGCTTCTCTGGCTTGTCCCGGATTTTATTTCTTCACCCCATGGATCTCCTTACACTCTTGGTTCCCCATGCCCCTTGGACAGGAGGGAGGAAGAGGCCAGAAAGACCCTCAGAGGTCAAGTCTTCACAGTCAGTGCTGTCTTCAAAGGGGAAAGAGCCTACAGAGAGGCTCTGGTTAAATTTGGGTTCTGAAATGCAGTGCTCTATGTCAGGGCAGCTGCTGCCGGAGGATGAGTCCTCCATGGAATCCAAGGGTTCAAATGCCCAGTCTCCCTTGATACTGGAAACTTCAAAAGAAAAACATTAATAGGTGATATTCAGAAGAATGTACTTTAGAAAATAATACTCATTCCATTTTCTGTTCACAACTATCACACTCAGGCAGAAGTGCATCCTATATTTGCACTCTCCAGTCAGGGGCAGAAGAGCCAGTTCTTTCTCTTTTAAAACTTATTGAGTAGTAACCCTCTGTACTGAGCATCTCCACCTGATTCCTCTCATGCTTGATCTTATTACTACAGTTGAAAGAACTGCTTGTCATAAAAGATAGTTGCGTAAAATTTGAAAACAACAGGAAAATAGGAAGATAAAAATAAATACCCCCCATCCCACCATCCAAGGGGAATAATAACTATCAGGAAAAGAGTTCCCTGCATTCCTTTATAGTACTTTTTTCTTCATATCTACATGTATGGATGGATTGTACATGTGTTTACACATCTTAGGTGTGTGAATGTCACATCAAACAAAGTGAGATTGTTAAATTTTATGACACAGCTAGCAGGAAATACATATGTGACTATTCTAACCACTTTCCCATTAAGTCTCTTTGCTGATCACCTATTAATGATCAATGAACCTCACATGATTAAGACCATTAACAATAGTCTTCTAAATGATAGTAAACCCCTTATCCAAAAATTTCTGCCTCTCCTTTTATAGTCCTATAGGTTAGGTTATTAGATCCAAGATTACAAATACTTTTAAAATATGATAATTGATATTAAATTACTTCTAGAAAGAATACAGCTATTGAAATGTCCATCTTCCCACCATCTGATGGTATCTGTTGTCCAGCATTTCCCATGATGCTCCAGCAAGTCATTGGGGAAGGGAATATACACACATTGGCTTTCACTTGATCTCTCCCTCTCCCTCTCTCTCTCATTCATATTCACATACCTTGTAGACACTATCACACCTGGCTCTAGTGACTTCCTTAGGAAAGAGATGCTTCCAATTCCTGAGGCAGACACAGGCTATCTGAAGTCCTTCAGATACTGAATCCAGTAACTAAGAAGTGCAACAGAACACTAAGACAATTGGCTACCGTGGCAACAGAAGAACACAAGTGTGGAAGGAAAAATGGGATAGAAATCCAAAGGACACATTCCCTTGCTTTCTTCATTTTTTCTGTCAATGCGACCAAAGTGGACAAGAACAACTTAGAGAAGGGAAAGTATTTGGAGGCCTTGTGTTTTCAAAAGTCATAGATAACTGGCTCCTTTGCTCTGGGTCCACGTTGCATCATGGAGGGAGGACCCTGAGGAGGAAAACTGACAACAGATAGGGGTCAAGAAGCAGACAGAGGAAGGGATCACAGAAAGAACACTTCTAGATCATGCCCCAGTGACTCACCTCCTGCAAACATGTCCCACCACCTACCATGACTCACCAGTCAGTTCATTCAAACTAAGATGAATTCATTAGGTTTTAGCTCTCACAATCTACTCCTTTGACTTCCGAATATTCTTGCATTACAAGAGCTTATGCTGAACACCTCACATCCAAAATATAATATTCTGCCCCTGTCTCCTAAACAGCTCATATCCTTCTCACAGAGCAAGATGTATTCCAAGAGTCTCATAGTCTCCACAGCTCTGGCACTGCCCCAAAGTCCAGGCCAAGTCCAGTGTCTTCTGAGACTCCAGACCAACTCTGGGTTGTGATGCCCTATAAAAGCCAAAGAGAAGTTTCATATATTCAAAATACAATTGCACACAATAATCATTCCCATTTCAAAATAATATTTGGTTAAGCATCATTCTGGGTGTGTCTGTGAGGATGTTTCTAGATGAGATTAATATTTGTAACAGTAAGCCAGGTGTGGAGGTGCAAACCTGTAATCCCAGTGGCTTGGGAGGCTGAGGCGGGAGGATTGTGATTTCAAATCCAGCCTCGGCATCTTAGCAAGGCCCTAAGCAACTCAGCAAGACTGTCTCTAAATAAAACTTTAAAAGGCTGGTGATGTTGCTCACTGGTTAAGTGCCTCTGGGTTCAACACCCAGTACCAAAACAAACAAATGAACAAATAAAGAAATAAATTTGTCCCAGTAGATCTAGTAAATCAGATTGTCCTCCCCAGTGTGGGTGGACCTCTTCCAAATCCATTGGAGATCTGAATAAAACAGAAGACTGCTCTGCCCAACTGTCTTGGGGCTTTGACATCAGTGTTCCCTGCCTCTGGACTTGGACTGGACTCGTCTCATCAGCTCTCCTTCTTCGCCAGCCTTGAGACTCAGACCAGAACATTACCATTGGCACTCCTGTGTCTCAGCTGGCAGATGGCAGCTCCTCGACTTCTCAGACTCCATAACTCCATCATCCAATTCCTGTAAAAGTTTCTCATTTTATGTGTAATATCTTCTATGTTTTTCATCTTTGCTATTATTTTTCTTGATACTACAGATTTAACCAAGGGGTGCTAAACCTCTTTGACACATCCCCAAGCCATTTTTAAATATTTATTTTTTATAGTTGTAGTTGGACATAATACCTTTATTTTTATTTATTTATTTCTATGTGGTGCTGAGGATCGAACCCAGGGCTTCACACATGCTAGGCGAGCACTCTACCACTGAGCCACAACCCCAGCGCCCCCCCAAGCCATTTTTTAAAATATATTTTATTTAGAGAGAGGGTCTGGCTAGTTACTTAGGCCTTGTTAAGTACCTGAGACTGACTTTGAACTGGCATTGTCCTGCCTCGGCCTCCTGAACCACTGGGATTACAACGATGCACCACCACACATAGACTACAATCTCCTACTTATTCTGTTTCAAGATTCCAGATTACATACTATGCCCTTCCTTCCTTCCTTCCTTCCTTCCTTCCTTCCTTCCTTCCTTCCTTCTTTCTTTTCTTCCTTTCTTCCTTCTGTAGCAGTGCCAGGGATCAAACGTAGAACCTTGTACACACTAAACAAGCACTCTACCACTGACCTCTACCCACACCCTTTTTTTATTTTATTTTGAGACAGGGTCTTGCCTCATTGCCCAGCTGACCTTGAACGTGTGATCCTTCTGCTTCAGTCACCAGAGTAGCTGGGGTTACATGATGCACCACTGCACCTAGCTTCCATTTTTGAAATTATGATATAATTTAAAAGTATAAAAAGAGGCATTCTGATCCTGCCATAAGATGCATGGAATGCTCAACAAAGCCTCTGTGGATTCTTGCCAACATGCATCACCTTACTGCAGTTATGGTAAAATGACAGACAATTCCAACTGTAGGACATTTGACAAAATATCTCATCATTGTCAGGTCATGAAAGGTAAGAGAAGACTGAGGTCCTGTCACAGACTGCAGGTGACTCATGGGAAAGTACATTTAAATGCAACTTGTGTTCCTCATAAGCTCTTACAATAGGAAAAGGACATTAGTGGAAGAACTGGGGTAATTCCAATACTGTCTTTGAGTTAGTTAATGGTATTGCACCAAAGTTCACATCGTGGTCTGCTCATTGTGCTAGCCATGTAAGATGTCCACATTGGAACAATGGTTTGAGGGATATATGGATGCCCTTAGTATGCTTGCACCTTCTCTGGAAGTGTACACTGAGGCCAAGATAAAAAGGTCAAAGAAAAATACATTAAAGTAGGAAAAATGATAAAACAACCAACCACGTATTACAACTAATTTTTTCAGGCCTTAACATTTTGCCATATTTGATTCATTGCTTGCTAGTAAGAGTATATGATAGGCAAGTGCAGAGGTGTATGCCTGTAATCCCAGCAGCTCAAGAGGCTGAAGCAGGAGGATCACAATTTCAAAGCCAGCCTCAGCAAAGGCGCTAAGCAACCCAGTGAGAATCTGTGTCTAAATAAAATACAAAATAGGGCTGGGGTACTTACTGGCTCAGTGGTTGAGTGCCCTGAGTTCAATCCCCGAACCCCCTTAAAAAAGAATATATTATAGATAAAAATTTAGGCCCCTAATCTCTCCCTCTTGTGTTCCATTTGCTTCCCACTTCCCTTATAAGCACTATTCTTATCTTGATGTTTACATTATGCATGTCTTAATGCTATTTCATATTTATATATTGCTTTACTTTGTAGACTAAACATATGGAGATATGAATATACTCAAAACATCTGGGTTGTATGTGTTAAAGTGGATAAACAGGTACACTTTATATATATTTTAACAATTTAAAATTTTCCCAATTTTAACAATTGGTAAAATACCAATGTAAATGGACATTATGTGATACTTTTTATGAAAACTTCAATTCAACTCTCTTAGGCTGAATTATCCACTCTTTAGAACTCTTTGTATACCTAGTACAGACTACTCTCACCCTCAAGCCTTTATGGTCATATGTTTCCTGTCATTAACTCTTCAATAAATAGCCCCTTGACCCCAAAGATCCACATATCTTTTTTTGTTACATTAAGCTAGTGAGAATTCTATGTGCTCAATGTCTGTGGAAGGGAGGAAGGAGATAAGGAGGTTGAAATTGAGAAAAGGAAGACTCTAAGACTAAACTCATAAGCTTCTCAAAATGTGAACAATGAAAGTCACACAGGGTGGTAGTAAAAGAAGGAGGGGAAAGACCTTCGAGGGAAACTGTGGATGAGTGAGCAAGATGATGTTGGCCCTGGGAGGCGAACTGGCAACATAGGAAGAGTCAACAAGAAGGATGAGTCCAACCACCTTCAAAGAGGTTGACCTGTAGGGAGAATTTTAATGACACTTGCAGAGGAAATTCAGAGAGCACAGTGAGGTGGGATGGAGAGGACTTGGTTAAATCAAGATCTGGTGAACACTTTAACTTTTGGTAAAATGGCTTCAGTGCTGGAAATAGCTCCATGAGAGTTGACTCCAAGTCCCTCTCTTAGATATGTCTTGGATGACGTGTGGGGGGAAGATCCTCAGGAACATGGCCACCCCCACCAGCCATAGTACTTATCAAGTGCTTGCTTCATCTCATTCATTCTGTAACAACCCTGTGAGGTCTTGTAATAACATCTCCCTCAATTTATAAATGAAGACAGCCAGACTTATGGTGATTAAGTGACATTCCCAGCCCCCACCCTCACCCTCCATGTTGCTCCTTATGCCAGCCAACTTGCTAGAACGAGCCACCTTGCCAGGATATTTTAGAATAACATGCTAAAACCAATCTGGTTCCCAGGGACATCAGAACAGCTTTCTGATTGTCTGAACACTATTGATTGATATAGACTTCCCAGTGACTCACTGCCCTCTGCCACTCCTCGAGACCCAGAAATTTCCCCAAAACCATCCTGGGAGTCACAGGGGTCCTGCTGCCTCGACACTGCAGATAGGATTTAATGATAAAATGCATGAAGTAATAGATAAAATAGGGGAAAATACAGTAAGAAGAGGCCTAGGGAGAGAAAAATGAATGCCTTCTGTTTAGGAAGCAGAATACTCCCTGAGATGTCCTCAGAGTCAATCTCAGTCTTCTAGTCAACATACCTACTTTCAACCTGGGCCCAGATGTTATGACGGAAGAAGAGGAAGATATGGATAACAAGAACATTTATTAGGAAAATATAAAACCATGCTAATTTAAAAATATGGCTAGGGAAACAATTAAAATTCTTGGTATATAGGGTTTCCTAACTAGAAGGATTCTTCAGTCTGCAAGATGCTGGTGGCCACCTGGACTGTGTCTAAAAGAGAATGACTCCCACAGCCACAAAACCAAAATTGCAACCATGCCAGGCAGAGAGCAGTCAGTAAGGCAGAGCCAGTGCTGCTAGAACAAAAGAGCCCATGAGCCACAGAGATATTCAACAAAGGAAGCAGAATGGTGCAACACCTCTGAGCTCCTCCAGCTACAGGCTTCCTGCCTGGGGAGACTGTGGATTTGGGGGCCTGTGATTTTGAATAACTTACCCACTCTATACTTACATTTCCTTCCGCAGTAAAATATCAGTATCAATATTTACTTAATTTCCCTAAAAATGCTAAGGGAAAATGAATAGTCCTACCTAATGCACAGTAAGTGCTCAATAAATGTTAGGACTCATTTCATAATAGTGGCTGCCATTTATTGGTTACTTCTTTAGACCAGATGTAATAATTTTAGGTCTGAGTTCAAAGACCATGTTCTTTTTTTTTTTTTTTTTAACCATATCTCTTGTTATTCAAAGGCTGGGAGAGGTGAAAGGAAGAGGGAGAGAGAGCTGAGAGGTGGAGTTGGGGGGAGGTTCTTAATAAAAGTCTAAGGCCATAAAACATATTCCTAGTTTCTTTGAAAAGTTGGGTCAAATAAGAATGTTTGGAGATAAGATTAGAGTCAGCTTGACACCAAATAATAGTAGACCTTGAGTGGCAGGGTACGGAATAAGTGTTGAAGGAACAGGTTAATCTTTTTAATTTGGAAAGAAGATTTCAAAGAATAAAATGTCTGAAAAGACTTGTTATTCATCGTAGTAACAGTTAGGAGACTTACCCAAAACATGAACATCAAGGAAACTGATTTTGACCTGATACATACATACATACATACATACATACATACATGTACAACACCTACTCCCTGAAAAAAAAAAAGATATCTCATTTAAAAAGCAATGTTAAGCCCAGGAGGAGCAATATCCTGTGCTATATCTGTAAAGAATGCAGACATGAGCCATATGGAATCTTTCCTAGCACTTTGTTATTATTGTTGTTGTTGTTTTGTTTTGTTTTGGTTTGGTTTTTTTCTTTTGTTTTTTGGTATCAGGGATTGAACTGAGGGGCACTTAACCACTGAGCCACAACCCCAGCCCTTTTTTGTATTTTACTTTATACAGGGTTTCATTGAGTTGCTTAAGGCCTCACTAAATTGCTGAAGATGTCTTTGAACTCATGATTCTCCTGCCTCAGCCTCCTGAGCCCCTGGGTATTAACACCATACCTGGCTTTTGCTAGCAGCTTATAAACTCATCTGTTCTATATCTATCTGTTATCATTCATTTATTTCCAGGTGAAAAGTTGATCAGAATGGGTGACAGCACCAGGGCAACAGAAGAAAGAAAACACTAAGGTCGTGAGAGTAGTTTGACGGCATGACTCTTGGACAGCCACGTTATGTATAAGACACTTTATAATATTGAATAGGAAACCCTCTTTGTTCCCCGGTCATACCAATTACGCAACAAACCCACCTTAAATTTTTCTCCTACAAAATTTCTAACATTGATCTGTTGGATAGCCATAACCATGAAGTACAAATTTGTTCTCCTTTTGTTTTAAATCACATGATTTTATTAACAAATCAGTCATCTCCGTTGGCACAACATATTTGTAGTGCTGGGAGTTATTAAACACCTACTTCAAAACATTAAATATTCAACTTAATAGGGAGATAGTGACAACTAGAAAAGATTTCATTTTATGTATTCTCAGTTCTCTAAGTTCTCCAAAAAAAAAAAAAAAAGAAGAAGAAGAAGAAGAAGAAGAATTAATGCAACTGCATAGTTTTTGCAAGGATCCAAACTCAAGTGTGTTTTGGGAGACAGGGAGTTAAAAATGTTTTGGAAGTTAAGTTGGTATAAGAGTATGAAAAGCCTCTGTTGCTCTAGTTCTAAGGAAATGCTCTCCTTTTTCTAATAAAGCTTTCCACAGAAGACAAACTGTACACTATAAACAAGGTAAGTATAAGAAAGAATTACAGCAGTTCATTAACTTTCAAATAAGTTATTCACTTGGACAATGTAACAGAAACTTTACGGATGTGAAGTGTGCTTCAAAATGCTGATCTGTTAAAATTCCATAAAACAAGCCTCAAAATGCAAGTCATTTGTGCCAGCTAAAGTAGAAAACTAAAGTAGCATTTCCAGAGGGACTAGGGCAAAGGACAGAACAAACTACAAATCAGCAAGGAAAGAAACAAAACATAGCAGTGTTAATAATTTACCATAGTTACTGCTCTTGAAACCAAGGTAGGATTACAGCTGTTATCTCTTTACATTTACGTGTGTTTTCATCATCTCTACAATGAAGTGTTTGGTGTACACTAATGTGTGCAGAAAATCAAAGGCTGCAGGGCTTGTCTTAGAACAGTAATTTTAACGTGTAAATTTATATTTTCTTATTTTGCTTTATCTTTACATTATGGTCTCTTAAAGGAAAAACATGGAAATTGGTTTATTAAATATCATGAAGCATTCATATTTCATATTTCTATCATGTATTTTATTTGTGAGCTCATTGGTTTCCTGAGCACACTGTAGTGGTTGTTTATATGAATTCTGAAAGAGCAAAAGTAGAACTTCAGAGGAGACCAAAAATAACAAAGAGGCACCCTGTTGCCCTGTGAAAAAACACTGGACTTAAATCAGAAACATGGGCCCCAGGCCTAGTTTTCTCTTATGTAGCTGTGGAAACTTATTCAGGTTGCTTAACCTCTCTTTGTTTTATCCCTGCAATGGGGATGTCAATACCTACCCTGTTCTATCTTACAAAGTGCATATATAAATAAATTGAACTAATGTATGTGGAAGAACATCATAAATTTAAGTACTTTGCAATTGTAATGAATTATTCTTGTCCTGCTACAAAACAGCCTGGTATTACCAATACATAGAATTTTAATACTTGAACATATTTGAAATTCTGGGTGATTGAGCATGATATCAAATCAGATTTGGCTCAGAGTCATTTCTCCAAAGGCATGTGATCATCTTAGTATTCTGGGTAATTTCTTCTAATAGAACCCCTTTTCACACAACACACTCCAGTCGAGAGGACTGCTATCAGTAAATGAGGCCATGTCTTTATAAATTCATATCATGTGGTTAAAATTTATAGTATGTCCCAAGACATTTTCGTGCATTAAAGGGATTTGAAAATTACTAACAGTTGCTTTTCCTTTGGTACTTTGGCAAGGTTCCTAAGGAAATTGACAGAGAATAACCAATAACATCATGAGAAAGAAACTAAGGGATGTTTCAAAGTAGCTTTTCAAGACCCAGTGATCACCGACTGGGTCCCTGTGTCTCTTACCATGTAAAAGCAATTCGAAAGAAAGGGTGCTGGCTCAAGAAGAGGCTCTAAGTATCTGCCTTTGATTGTTGATAGGAAACTCAATGCCCTCAGATCATGAAAAGTGCCTGGATTTACTTCAGAATTTTTTTTTAATGACAGTGGAAACAAGTATCAAATGAGCCACTTTTTAATTTTTTTATTTCGGATGATTAGAACTTTACAAACTATTTTTATCATTGCAAGTGATCATGAAAGCCCTATTGGGTGGCATTCTAGCTGAAGGGAAAAAGGACTTTTTGTACTGGTAGGAGATGCCAATTTATTATTGTACTTAGACCTACTGACCATCTGAGGGAGTTAGAAGTTAACAACTGTATCTCTGGTTGATCTTTGCATATTTTAATCCAAATATGGTAAAGGACAGGGCTACAGATGGGAGTGTCCACATAATAATAAAGGGCTCAGAACTTGTAACAGAAAATGTTTAAAGTCCTCCACTCAAGGGAACTCTGTACTTTGTACTTTGGTTAAATTCTCTTTTAAATTTAAATTTCTAAACTTTTCTTAGGACATTAAGCTCCCTTTGATCTCTTCTCTTCTGAATTGCAGAAATCAGATAAAACTATTGGTAAAATGACCTCTTGTCACATTACTGAAGAACCTATAAAAAAGATTGCTATCTTTGGAGGAACTCATGGGAACGAGCTAACGGGAGTATTTCTAGTTAAGCACTGGCTGGAGAATGACGCTGAGATTCAGAGAACAGGGCTGGAAGTAAAACCATTTATTACCAACCCAAGAGCGGTGAAGAAGTGTACCAGATATATTGACTGTGATCTGAATCGTGTTTTTGACCTTGAAAATCTTGGGTAAGAATATGTTTTATATAGTGTGCATACGTGTATGTATGTGTGTGTGATAAATATTAATGTTTGTACATATAGTGTCTATAATGAGTAAGATCGCTTTCACTTGTAATCACATTGCGTTGTGAATTACACAATTGTGGAAACTGGGCATTCATATCTCTTTTAAATACTTTTTTAAGTACCACATTATTTGATTTTTCTCTTCAAATATATCCTATACGGGCTGCAAACATATATAAGAAAGGTTTTATTTTTAAATCATGTCTTGAAAGACAGATTTAATAATCCTTTGCATTAAGTTAGTGTTTGGCCACTATGTTTGTATACACATTTGTTAACTGTGTGGGAAATTCACTACAATGTTTTTTTGCAACTATGTTTATGGTAGCACATAAAGTTCTAGTTAAGAAAAATATGATGTTCCAATTAATATTTGTTGAATCAAAGAGTGAATAAGTATCCATTTTCAGAAAACATCAGACCACTCTGCAGCCTAAAGAATAGATGTGTTTACCTTCATTCATGCACATATGCACACTATACAAAACATTTAGGGCTGGTGAGGTGGCTTCATGATGTCATCAGGGCCATAGGTTGCTTCTCTCTTCCCCCTGTGCTTGTCTTCACATGTACCTTTTTGTACTCATGGTTTTTGCTTCATAACTGCAAAATGGCTAGTCCACCTTCTTGATTGTATTCCAGACAGGAAACACTCAGGTGCAAACTGTAGGTCCCTTAAAGATACTAGTAAAAATAGCCAGGAATAGAAAGAGATGGAATTACATGAAAATGTGGTTGAATGATTTAATGAGAAAAAATAAATTTAAAACATTATCATGTACAGCAAGCAAAAATGTATCCTAACCATTTCAGGAAGTGAGAGGTTAGATTAAGACCCATCTAAGAATATAATGATATCTATTAACATTTGTCTCACAAAAAATAGATACACATGAACCTGTAAATTTTTGTATTTTTGGAGCATTTACAGACTCTTTTCTGTAAACCTTGTCCCTGGACCACTGATGACTGTCGGGCCTCAATTAAAAATACTTAATGATGATGTGAGCACCTAAGTTTGACTCTGTTTCAAGAACTTAAATTACCAAGAGTGAAGACTGGGGGGGGGAGATGCACTTAATGATCTATCCCGGTAATAAATAACAAGTGCACCATAACTACAAAAAAACTATAAATAAGATTAATTGAAAAGTTTTGTTCAAGGTTGAAGTCAAATGGTAAACTCTGTTTGAACTGCCCTACCTGTGACTAGCCACATAAATGAACACATTATTTTACAAGAATACCAATGAAATATTAGTTATGTGAAATCAAATAAGAAAAAATATTTTTCATTTTTAAAACTTTTAGATGTTTTAAATCCCCTCAGGAATTTTCCAAATCAAAGGTTTGGCAACTGGTTCTTTGTACACTGTATTCTTATTGACTATATATGTTATCATAGCCACAAATATTGTTAATCTTTCTCTTTCTGCTAATAAGAGCAAAAAGATGTCAGAGGATTTGCCATATGAAGTGAAAAGGGCTCAAGAAATAAATCATTTATTTGGTCCAAAAAATAGTGAAGATTCCTATGACATCATTTTTGACCTTCACAACACAACTTCTAACATGGGGTGCACCCTTATTCTTGAAGATTCCAGGAATGACTTTTTAATTCAGATGTTTCATTATATTAAGGTAATGTCAATGTTATTAATTTATAAGTTTACATAAGTCAATTATAGGTGAGAAACAACTAGAACAGGGTCAGGAAGGAAGGTCCAAGAGAAATGGGATCTATTCCCCAGTCAGGCTGGGAGGCTAGATGGGAGAGGCTGTACCCAGATTCAGAGGTAGGTGGTAGTGACAGGCAGGAGAAAGGAGAAACAAGGAAAATAACAAATACAAGGAATAAAATAATAAGACCTTGTGGATTTTTGTGCCCATAAAATTATAAATTTTATTCCAACAGCCACCAATTCATAAGCTATTGAACAAAAAAACAAATAAAATGAATATAAGAGTTTTAAATGTTATGGTTGAAATATCAAAATTACAGGGTTTTAGGAAGCTCAAAATATTGTCATGTCCAGTGGTGAAGACATTGTCTCCCTTTAGTCCTGCCCTTGTCACCATTTGATTGGGATTACCCAAAACACACCCAATCTTTTGTCATATAGTTCATAAAGCTAATCATTTTAACACTCAGGAATCCGTGAGATTAAAAATTCAGGCTTCCAGTGCCTTTAACTAAAGAAAAAAAAGTCTAGAAAATAGCAAATAAGCAAAAACACAAATAATGGATTTTGTATTTGATTTTATATAATAGATGTTCTTCCTTCCTGAGAGCTAACATGATTTAGTAGGAAAAATTTGATCCATGTAGCCAGAAGCTGGGTTTAAATCTTAGCTTTCTCCTTCACTAACCTTAACAAGAAGTTCAACTCTCAAAACAGCTTTCTTCATTTTATAAAATTGGCATGAGAATACTCACCCCATATGGCTGCGCAAGTCTTTAAATGAGAAAAAATATTCAAGGCATTTAGACTAATGTCTACCCTGTGGTGAGGGTTAACTATTACTTTTGTTCCCCTTGAGTTCTGGACATTAAGAAGGTAGTGGCTGTGGTGGGAGATCCTTATGCAGCTGTTCTGTGTTGCTTATTCAGGAGAGCTGAATGTTTCTGTTGCCAGACATGGAAGCCTCAAGGTTGATTCCTAGTTATCAAAACCAAGAGCCCTGACTCAAATTTCCATTCAAATAGAAGGATGAAAGGGGAATCGCCTGACATTAATAGAACCTGAATTACAGGGTCAGAAACAGAGCTCTTTAAGAAACTAAGTAAGCTAAATAGTAAGGATAAGCAATGATGAAAACGAAAATAACCAAATCCATTCAGAAGGAAAATTTATTTCCTATTCTTTGGTCATGGCTCTGGAGAATTATTTAATGTCCATTTTACCCAGAAAACTGCATGTAATTCAATTTTACACGCAATTTATTTGTATGTTTTCAAAGCTGTAACATTGAGTTTTAGAGTGTTTCATAAAACTGTCTGACTAATCTTAGTTGATGAAGTAAAAAATATGAAGTCCTTATTGACTCTATAGCAGCAAAGAGAAAAAAATATATGGTCTTTACATAATAAGGAAGATGATTTAAAAATTCTTTGCAGACTTCTTTGGCTCCATTACCCTGCTATGTTTATCTCATTGAGCATCCTTCCCTCCAGTACGCAACCTCGCGTTCCGTAGCCAAGTATCCTGTTGGTAAGTCTGTTGGCATAGCTGAATAAAATGTGTCCTACCTGAAACTCCAAGAAAAATTAAAGAATATTTATAGCTACCTTGCACATCCTTAAGGCTTATAATTATCAGATAATAAGCAAATTAACTCCAGGCAGACACTATACTTTATTTCCTCAATATCTTGAAGCAGCTTTCTGGTTCTATTCATATTATTTTCTTCACTGTTATGTTTGACCCTAAAAAAATCAGTCTGACAGATTCTTCTAATCCCAAGAATTAGGTGAAGAGTCACCTTTTATAGAACGTTATCTCTAACTCCACTCCACAAAATTGCTCTAAAAATGTGAACTTTCAACAGATATTTATTGTGTGTCTACTAGAGCCCCACCACTGTGCTAGGTTCTGGGAAAATAGTAAAGAACAAGGCACACAGAATCCCTCAAAGAGCTTAGTATCTAATGAGAAGACAGACATTAACCAGGTCATCACTGCACAGAGGGAGAAATGGCAGAGTAGAAGTAATTCATTCTCTTTCAAGTGAGATACACTAACATAATTAACTATTTGCAAATTATACTATAATTAAAATTTCTATTACAACTTAAGTGGTTTTTGTTAGATCTTAGATGCTTTAACCAAGAGTAAATTTAAGAGCAAGTTTGCAAATAACATAAGCAAATGAAAACTTAACAATTATTCTGGTTACTCAAGTATTGGTACTTTTGACACATAATTAAAGAAATTAGTTAATTATTAATTATAACTGGAGAAAGCTAAATATCCAAATATAGGCACAGAATTGCAATAAATGTAATAAACCAAAACCTTACTGTATGAAATAGGGTTGAGTGCAGCTCAGTGATACAGTGTTTGCCTACCATGTGTAAGTCCCAGGGTTCCATCCCTGGCACCATAAAATAATAATAATAATAATAATAATAATAATAATAATAGATCATGGGTTATATTTAGTACCAAATAAAAGTGTAAGACTTCTAAACTTTGAGATATTAGCCTTATAATATGATATTTATGGGCAATGCTGTTTTAGCTAGAACAAATATCTCTGATAAGTTTGACCCTTACAAATAAAGCCAAATCTTTAAAACATTTCAATATGAGGGAGTATTAATTACATTTTAAATAATTAGAAAATATTAATATGTTCTTCCAACTTTGCTCTTTTATATTTGAAATCTATATGTCATATACACGTTGGCAGCTAATGACAATATGTAATAGAGGAAGGAAATATCAGGAACTCCCCTACTAATCTTTCATTATGGCCCCTTTGTCAGAACTGAATAACATGTACATTCTTAAATCATCAGGATGGTTGGATTACTATAAGTGAATTAAACTTTTGATATTTACTCTTAAGCTGAAGAAAAGTTAATTTATCTTAAAGATTGGATAATCAACCAAAATTTGATTGTATTAGAATGGAGGAAAATGGAATGCAACAACAATATCTTCCACAAAATGCACACAGACATATCCATGAACACAATTTTCATACATTTGTACAAATCATTCATGCACAGAGGCATGCCTTAGCCCCACTTATGATATCATATACTTAAATGAATTCCTATAAATATACACAAGTAAGTTACACACAGTACAACATAATGAACTTTTTGAATTGGAAAATAATAGAAATGGGTGCAAATAGGATGGGTTAAAAGAATATATTTGAGTTGAATGTAAGAGAATGAATGTGGGTGATACATTAATAAACAGTTTGATAAATGGAGAAAATAATAACTGGAGGGATGACTCTGTGGGAGACTTGAGCAGGTGGAGGAGTATTTTGCAGGTGTAAGGATGGATGCTTGACAGCTACAGGAAACAGACCTGGAAGTACAAGCATAGTTTTATGAAGGTTAGAGGAAATACAAATTTTTCTACAGAAAATAAGAACCATTGCACTATCTTATCAGAATGGGTTAATATTAAGTATAAAAATGTTGCCCTAAAGTCACATAGATTGCATGTTAACTTAAATTCATAGTTCATCTAGCTATATTTCTATGACTAACTAGATGTCTTTCCTCCTGTTAGAGCTAAATGTTAGTCTGTGACCATCTCTCTTTGTGGCCACCTATTACTTTGTCATTGCAGGTTTATCTACTTCTTTTGCTATGTTACAATACTTAAATATTTGAATCACATGAAAGTAAATTTAAAGAAAAAATAACCCTAAGTTCCGACTACTCAAACACAAGTCTGATTTTTTCCATGTTCTCTTCCAGTCTTTATTCACTATGCATTTATCACTATGTGTATTTAAACGTGTAAATGTTCTGCTTTATTTTTTGCTTAACTTTCTGTCTCAAATACTTTCCATGATGCTAACTGGTCTAACTTTTAAATATTTATGGGGTTCTAGATATAATAAAATGCTTAATTTCACAATACATTCTAATACTTATATAATATTACTATCTTCCCTTCTGTACTTAGGTATTGAAGTTGGCCCCCAACCCCAAGGTGTTCTGAGAGCTGATATTTTGGATCAAATGAGAAAAATGATTAAACATGCTCTTGATTTTATATATCAGTTTAATGAAGGTAAGTGGTGGGTAAGAGTTGTTTCCTTAATTGTGGATATTTGCATATTTAGCTATGTGTTAGTCAGGTTTGCATTATTATGACCAAAATATCTGACAAGGACAACTTAAAGAAGGAAATTTTTATTTTGGATTATGTTCTCAAAGGTTTAGTCCATGGTTGGCTGGGTCCATTGCTCTGGGCCAAGGTGAGGCAGACATCATGGCGGAAGGGCATAGTGAAGGGAAGCAGCTCAGAACATGGCAGCTGAGAAGCAGAGAGAGGGAAGGGGCAATCCCAGTGACCAACCTCTTCCAGCCACTCCCCATCTGCCTATAGTTACCACCATTCAAGCTAGAATAGACTGATTCAGCACTCAAAATCAAATAATTTCATTTCTGAATATTCCTGCATTAACATAGGAGCTTTTGGGGATACCTCATATCCAAACCATAACAATACTATACATACATTACATAGTACATATATAGTGCATATATATGTATATATGTACCAACGTACAACACTTTAACCATGTGTGTGTGTGTGTGTGTGTGTATAAAACTTAACCACTTAACATTGAAATAGTAATTGAAATTTAGGTCAAATTCATCATTCTCATAATCTTAGATGCGTTTTCAAATTTTTTTTATTCACTTCAGCTATTCCTCAATCACCAGAATAGAAAAACATACAAGAAAAACAGTGGCCATATAAACAACCCAAATCAAATCCTATTTTCCTATTAATCTCCATTTAAAAAAACCAAAGACAGAGTAGGAAATACAAATGCCCAATAAAAGTAGAAAAGATGTTCAACATCACAAGTAATCAGAAAAATGCAAATTAGAATGAGAAACCATTTTCCCCATCAGATTGGACAAAATAGCATCTGACGATATTAAGTATTGGTAAAGGTATAGGAAAAGGAGATACTCTCATTCCCTGCTGACAAACATTTGAATTGGTAAAGACACTTTAAAGGGTAATTTTATAGTATCTGCTGTATCTACTTATTAAATTGTGTAATTCTTATAACCCAGCAGTTCCACATTTCAAAGAAACACAAGCTCATGAATACCCAATGGGTTGTATTCAAGGGTGGTTATTATAGCTTTGTTCGCAAAGGAACTGACTCAAATGTGCATCCGTTGGTGAACAGTTAAACAATAATAACATGGAAGAATCTTCAAAACACACTATTGTTTAAAAGAAAGAAAACTGTAGACAAAAATATATGATATAAACATTTACTTTAAAATAATAATAATCACTTGCTAGAATGCATATAAGTATGAAATTGTTGACAAACACGTAATTATGGTGACACAGCTACTGAGTCATTCAATGTCTGTGGGGAACATAATTCCTTAGCCTCAGATGTGCAGCCCCCTGTGATCGCAGGAACTTCTTCTCTATTTGGGAATACTTTGGCTCCAAAGTCATGAAAACTGAAAATGAGCTAGATGTCCACCAACTTTGTATGAGGGCAGGTTCTCTACTCTCTAATGGAACTGGTATTGGGAAGGTCATAACATATTCACAAGAAATTCTCAGAAAGTAAGTGTGGAACTCTAATATGTTAAGAAATGATATCCCCAGGGAGAATGCCACAAACCTGAGTGGAATGGTAACTCAAAGACACTCGGCTCTCTGTTTTCGCATCCATCAGTCACCCCCATCTCTTGAATCTGGGTTGCCCCAGTAGCTTGTTTTTGTGCCACAAAGGGTCTTGAAAAAGACTGTGTATTGGGACTTGCCCTCTTGTGGCTTTTGGGAACCCTGTGTGGCTATTATGTGAGTCAGTCCACACTAATCTGATGGATATGAAAAGGTTATAGAATAGAAGACTAAGATAGCCCAGCCACCAGTCATGCAGCTCCAGCTAGAGCCTTCAGACTGTCAATTGCCAGACATTAGATTGAGGCCATCCCAGATTACCCAGCCACCAGCTGATTTGCCAGCTCACCCCAGATGCATGAGCAAAGCAAACAGAAACCAGCAAAGAGAGTCCACACTAGAGGAACTGCCTAACCAACCCACAGAACTACAAGCTAAAAAGAAAAAAGAAAAAAAGAAGAAGGTTGTTGCTTTAAGCCATTAGTTCTGGGAAAGTGTGCTATGCAGCAAAAGCTAGCTGACACAGGATTGATCTTAGGATCTCCTCATCCCAACTCTGCTCTAAAGGCAAAGGAGGACTTTTCCTTTAAGATGAAACCATAACATCCTGTGGATACACCATTGGACATATGTTCATCCTGTTTGCTCAGAGACCACATGGTATCTGTGTAAACTACTCCTTTTCCAATTTATGGGCATTGAGCTGAGCTATTTAATGTCATCTCTTTGAAAGCTGGTAGACTGCCTGCATCCCAAGATTTCACTGCTCAGGGGCCATGTAAGTGTTTAATGAACTTGATTAAGAGAAAGAGCCACTAGACAGAAGCCACCTAACTTGCTGAAAGTCCCCCCTGAGAATATGCAATCACTGAGTGTCAGAGCTGGAAGAGTCTTTCAAGATAAGCTAATCCAAAACCCTCTTTTGACAAGATTGCTCAAAATAACTGGCATAGTCAGCAGAACAGAGCCCAGGGTCCTGACTGGCAGATCTAGGCTTTTTTTCTCCCACACTGGCTTCTTTAAGTTATGTTTTCTACCTCTGTTCATCAGTGCAATGATAGGAATAATTCCAGAATTTGGGGCTTTATATTGTTTATGAACATCTTTAAGTTACTTAATGTGTTCTCCTTGTAACGGTCTTCATTTTGTTGTTTTTCTTTCCTTCCTTCCTTCCTTCCTTCCTTGAAATATTGACTTCCCTTTTTTAATTGCTATAATATGTATTATTTTTGTTGTAGGAAAAGAATTTCCTCCCTGTGCCATTGAGGTCTATAAAATAATGGAGAAAGTTGATTATCCTAGGAATGAAAATGGAGAAATAGCTGCTATTATCCACCCGAATCTGCAGGTAACATTTGTTGTTTCTTTAAAATAATGAGAATATTTTAATAACGTTGTACCTTTGAGTAGTAGTTCACAGTTCATACAGCATTTTTACATACATTAGCTAATTTGATGTTCACAAAACCACTGCAGCGTAGAGAAGTGTATTAGTTAGCTTTCCATCACTAAAATAAAATGCCTGATACAATTAATTTATAAGGAGAAAAGGTTTATTTAGTCTCAGTCCAAGGTTGATTGGGTGACTCCTTTGCTTTGGGCCTCTGATTGGGGCACTTAATGGTAATAGTAGAAAGTATGCATTAGAGCAAACTGCTCACACTTGTCTAGAGTTTAAGAGTGATGGGGTTACTTATCAGAATTACCTAGGGGATTTTCTCCCCAAATGCATGGAACCCATCACAAACTACTAAAGCAGGGCTTCTCAAACTCAGGTGGACACAGGGAATCAAATGACTTCACCAGGTGATTTCATAGGACTCAGGTCTGGGGAGCACTGCACTACATGGGAACCTCTGCAGATGCGACCAACCAATGGGCAGGTAAGTACCTTCAGTGATTCTGGGCATATCTCTGCCTGAAAAGCACTTGTTCAGAGCAGAATTCTCAACCAGGCCACCCTGTAAAATCACTGGGGACTTAAAGAAAGAAAGGAAGGAAAAAACAGGAAGAAAGGAAGGAAGGGAAAGAAAAGAGAAGAGTGAACTATAAAAATGAGAAGCATGAGGGACTGGAGGAGATGGGTGATAACATAGATGTTTTTATTACATAGCTATAGGTTATATGACTATGCTATGTATATATCAAAATTTACAACTGCACACAAAATTAATGATTTTTTTTACTCTATAATTAATTTTTTCAAATAAAACTTTAGTAAAAAATGTATTTATTAAAAATAAAGCCACTCTTTAGATTCTGATTTGCTATAGCTGAGATGGGGCCAGCCCTGTACCCATGTAAACATATATTAATATCCCAAGTGATTCTAATGTATGGCTAGAGTTGAGAAAATCACTGAGATGCAGTGCCGTGCATACTTCAGTATTCTACATGTAAACCTCTGACAATTTGTTAACATGAAGATTTTGATTTAGAAAGTCTGCAGAGGGGAACAAAATTATGCTTTTCTAACAAACTGCTGGGTGATGCTGATGCTTCTAGAAAATATTAGAAATGCGGAATCTCAAGGCACCACCCTGATCATTAGCATCAAAATCTGCATTTTAGCAAAATCCCCAGATGATTTGTAAGCATAGCCAAGTTGGAGAAGAACTGTTCTAGACTTCCTATGATCTGACAACATTGGTGCTTGAAGGATCAAAGGGCCAAATCCCTGGGGCAGGACCTGTCAGATAACACAGTTGTTAACATAATGTGGGGACACACCTGCAGTACATCCTCCTCGACTTAGACTTTTCTCCAAACCACTCACCAATCCTCCCATCATAATAAAGTCTCCCTGTGTGCAAATACAATGTGACTCATTTTTATGTCCCCAACAGTAGAATGTCTTGCACACAGAAGGCTCTCAAAAAATATTTCCTAAATTTTGCTGAACAGAATTTCACTTCAGATGGCAAAAAGTAGAATATGCACTTAGGTGGATATGAAATTTATTTTTCCTCTTAATATTATAAACCTCTTTGGCCACATTCAAGGCAAACTTGGTGTCAGAGAAACTCTAATTACACATGTCAACTGTAAAAATTAACAGGGAAGCTCTTAAAACTGCTGCCCAAGACAGTTACATGGTTCCAGTGGAGTCAGGTCTCTCCCATGCCTCTCAGGACACCCTTCAAGGATCACTTTTTAAAGAATAGAATGGTATTTGTTAAATATCTAGAGTCTTGACATGAAAATTTTGTAATTTATTATTTTAACTGTCTTCCGAAAGGATCAAGACTGGAAACCGTTGCACCCTGGGGACCCCACCTTTGTGACTCTTGACGGAAAAACTATCCTGTTGGGTGGAGACTGTACCGTGTACCCTGTGTTTGTGAACGAGGCTGCTTATTACGAAAAGAAAGAAGCTTTCGCAAAGACAACAAAAGTCACTCTCAATGCAAAAAGTATTCGCTCCTCTTTCCACTAGAAATCAGTGCTAGTTCACTTTTTGGGGGGCATCTTGAAAAAGGACCAGTCTGTACGCTCCTCAAGAACAGAATTGTGCCTTATTCAAGTTCATGATCTGAACTTGACCCAGTCCTGACCCAGTCTCCAAGCAACAGGCATTCACACCAGTGTCTTAAAGAAAAAAAATAAATTAATGAATATCTTTTAAAGTTATCATATTTTATGTAGATAGCTTCTTCAAAGAAGTGTGCTTCCTATTTCTGCATAGATTTTTATACATTTACACTCTGATAGTTTAACATTCTTAAAAATAGCCTTCTTTTTCAAAGTACAAAAGACATAGGTACTATGTGCAGAGTTATTAACTTGAACATGGCATGAAATGTGTGTTTTCAAGTAATTTTTGTTTGTTTTTGTGGTGCTGGGGATTGAACCCAAGGCCCTGTGTATTCGAGGCAAGCACTCTACCAGCTGAGCCATATCCCCAGCTCAAGTAATTTTTAAGTGCTACTAGAAATTAAAGGTGGAGACTATTTTTTAAATTTTTCATGATTGAGTTAATGACACTATATTAAGAATTCAGTCCATAAACTAGCAACAGTTGTGATATCCATAGTAGATTTTAGCTGCTCTTTTTCAGATGACATGTTGAAGAGAAATGAAAGCTGATTGTAAATATACATCTAGAAACACTGATGTCTTACACTCACCTTGAGAAGCTACTTGTCCTTCTCATCATAGACAATTAGGAAGAGGCAAATTCCTCTCATCTGCCACTTCTTGTTTTGAATGAACACTCACTCTTACTCCTAGCCAAAGCGTGAGGAGATCTTTGGACTCCAGTAGCTGCCAGCCTAGGTGGTTAAGACCCATAACGGAGGACAGTGGACGTAAGTGGAAATGTGACCCTAATCCATGTCTCTGGTTTACAAACACACCCTTTCAAGAAATTCTCCCATTTTTTTTTAAGCTGAAATCCCTCACCTCCTCAAAGGACTTCTGGCAAAACACTGCCTCCCTCCCCTCCCCTCTTTTAGGTCACAGCAACCAAGTAAGGAACAACTTTATCCTACGATTTGAACCCCAAGGAAACACATTTATGGCTTCAAATGTTTTACCAAAAATACTAACATTATCTGGAACTTATATAGATACACAAACATTTTCATTCTTTCAGAGCTAACTCCACTAAGCCAATTTTATTCCATATTCATTGTTTTATAGAGCACAACTAAATGATTTCTGAATTTTGCACTAGAAAAATCATTGTGTGCTTTGCCAAAATTATTTTCCTTGGAATAAACTTCCTTCTGAAGGTTGTAGTAAAAATGTGTCGATCTTTTTTAGCACGTAAGTTTTACCAAGTGTCCTTCTCCCTCTATGACAAACGTTCTGTTATGTTTTATCTTAGGCCAAATCCTCAGGGTCAGTTTTTCCAGATGTAAATTTTGGCAAGGAAACTTTATCCTTCCATTGAGTTTCAGTTATTTATGTAATTTATAATGTGCCATTTAGGTCATTGTGGTTTCAGTTTGGGGGATTCATTATTTCTATTGAGCGTAATATTTCCTGACTCAATTATTATTGTCTTCATTGTTTCTAATTAGATGTGATTTTTTTTCTTAATCTACAACACATGGCTGTGTAGTTTTATTATTTTCAGTTTTATTTTTATTATTTCTAACTATCTGCCAGCTTCATTTTCTCATGTATAAAGCGGGGGTGAGGGCTGGGGATGTGGCTCAAGTGATAGCGTGCTTGCCTGGCATGCGTGCAGCCTGGGTTCAATCCTCAGCACCACATACAAATAAACATGTTGTGTCTGCCGAAAACTAAAAAATAAATATTAAAATTCTCTCTCTCTCTCTCTCTCTCTCTCAAAAAAAAAAAAGTGGGGGTGATAACAATAGTAATGCTTCTACTATGGGGTTACTGAGGATTAAGCAAGTTAATGCATGTGAGCACTTAGCTCAGTGCCCAGCACTTAGTTCAAACATAGCACAAAAGACCCTTTGTGAGCTGCTCCCTCCCCCACAACCTCTCTAGACTCATCTCCATTCCCATTCTCTCTGTTCCAAGGCCCTTGTGTTGTTTTATTCCTGAACACCTTCATCCAAACTGATTCTTCCCCCTAAAATTTTCTCCCAACTTCATGCATATCCCACACACACACATACACACCCACCCCAGGCCTTGCTCTAGCTAATTCCTGTGTTTCCTTCCAAATGCAACTCAACTCTCATTTTAGGTATGAAGCCTTCATCTCTATCTGACTTAGTTGCCCCATTTGCCCATCCTTCCATCTATGCCATCTCAAGGACATTAACAGAGTCTTTTTCAGACTGCAATCTATTAAATGCCTAATAAAGGTTAGTTGAATAAATGAGTGAGCCCAAATGCCCTTCTCTACCTAAACATCTCCACATTCCACCAATCTCCCTCCTTCTTTTTTCCTTCTTTCTCAGTCACTTCCTGGGTCTTCTTAATACCTCTCTTGAGGGAAACTCACTCCATTCTACACTCTTCAGACTGTTACTATATCTCAAAGGACAGCAGGAGAAAAATCGTAGTAATAAAACACACTTTTAAGCCTACAATCCCATCAGATTAAACAGGGAAATGTTCCCACTCAGTAGTTCCCCCATGTGAGACATTTTGGTGGCTTCTCCTTACCCTTGAAATGAAGTGTCAAAGCCTCACCTTGATGAGACAAGCCCTACATGCTCTGAGCATGGCCACCCCTCCAGCATCATCCCATGTCACTTGGCTCCTTGCTCCAGCAGTTGGGCCACACAGGCTTGATTCTCCAGACCTCAGATGCATCAAGCTCCTTACTACCTGGGGGTCTTTGCCCATGTGTTTTCACTTCTTGAAAGTCTGCCTCACCCTCTCATCCCTTGACTCAGATGACACTTGTCCTCAGTGTAACACGGCCTAGGTTAGGCCCCTCTGTTACACAAACACACTTATATCAGACTAGCACGTACCACAACTCCAAAAGTACTAATTTATGAGATTGGTGTAGAAGACAGTTAAATGTGTGTCCCTTTACTTAAACTGCAAAAGCTCTAAGGGAGCAGGGAGAGTGTCTTGTTCTTTGAAGTATCCATAACTTTGAATACATTTCTTACCACATAGAAGTCGATCAGTCTTGTTGGATACATGAGATTGATCTGATGAGTGAAACCATCCCAGAGGGCTTCCTCAGAAGAGCAGATTGACTTAGAGACCACAGAAGATGACCCTGGAGACCACTAGATGCCACTGGGGCAGGAATGGTGAACCACATACAGTTACTGCTCCAATAGGAAGAGCAAGTGGGAAGGGGCAGTGGGGAAACTCTGAAGACCGAGATGACCAAGGCCATGGTGCTGGGAGAGGAGCCTACAAGCCCTGGGGGCAGCAGGGCAACTGGACCAGGGCACATCTGCTGGGCCTGCATTTGCAAACCCCATGCAGACACAGTCTGAAGGGAAGTGACTGCTTAGGGACTCCCCAAACCTTTTACTATTTCTGTATTTCCACATATATTGCCATCAAGAGACTCATAACTTACCCACAGAGACCTTCTTTATAACCCCCACCCCAACACAGACACATGAAGTCCAGCACTGGGCAGATAGTAGTTCCTTAATACATCAGATAAATGCCTTGGAAGCTCTCTATGGAGTATTTCACCCAGGGCTGCCACATAAGGCTTCCTGGGTCACACAGGACACAACTCCAGGGAAGCAGGGCTGTAATCCCCTAAACTGCAAAGTGAATGGCACAGCACAGGATTTTATGCCCCATCAAACTGAAAAACAGAATTGGTATTTCTTCTTTTGGCTGAGAAAAAGAACAGGGACTTGGTCAGTAATGTAAAATCCCCCTCAAAAAAACTGGGGTCTATAGGTGATTGCTATGATTAACATATAATTAATATAAAGTGAAATTTAGAAAGAAAATATTAAAGCCACAATAGCTAAATATCATTTTAAAAATTTATGATATTTAATGTGACACAGGCTGGGTTAGGCCCTAAATATCATAAAGGCCCATTTTAGAAAATAAATCTATTAAATGGAGAAATAAATTTTACCATCATGAAATAGCATAAGACATCTCAAGGAAGTAGAGAGCATCCCCTGACAGGATATTTCAATGCTGTGAGTATGAATGCAGATACATTTGTAGGTTTGGTGGTCAAAAGTTGAAGGTGTTTCCATCTGATGGCTTCTAGTTTCACTACTAAGTTGGAGATTTTTGTAAACTACCTACAGGTATTTAAAGAGAAATGATGGGGTAAAGAATGACAGCTTTGAAATAACTACTGGAAAATATAACAGAACTGATGAAGGAACTAGAGTAACCACTGGGGTATTGTAAGGATTAAATAAGACTCTGTAGGTAAAATGCATGGCATGTTGTAGGCACTCAATGTTCACGTCCTTCCCTCTCCTTCCACTTTTAGTGGAAGAAATTTTCTCATTCATATTTGTCTCCTCTATCATTGTGCATACTGGATGTCTAATTTTTGTTGAATCGGTTGTAAGTCCTCACACACAGCAGGTGAGATACATTTTTTGGAATTGCACTGGATTCCATCCTTTCTGCAGAATATTGCTGCCATTGTCAGAGAAGTGGCCTGGTGCAGTCAAAAAAAAGTGGTTCTTTTTTAAAAATATTTCTTTAGTTGTCAATGGATTTGATTTTATTTATTTATGTGCAGTGCTGAGAATCAAACCCAGTGCCTCACACATGCTAGGCAAGCGCTCTACCACTGAGCCACAACCCCAGCCCAAGTGGTCTCTCTTGATACCAGCCTAACTAAACTTTATAGACCTTGGATCCTCAGGCCAGGAAAAAGCATCATGACCTTTGCATTTCATGCCATTTACTCCAGAACTCAATTTCTCCACCAGTTAAACTGGGATATAATACTGAACCTATAAAACTATCTTATTAAGATAACACAAAGGCTGAAAAAAACTGCTGTGACCATTTTGGCAGTTAATTTTTCACAGTCTCACATGCCATAAAAATGTTCATGCCCATTGACCCAGGCATCCCATTCCCAGAAATATATCCTACAACAGAGGTTTCCACCCTTTTTCTATTAGCCTATCCAGAATGTTCTCATGAATGCATGAATGTCCTATTCCTAGATCCTGAGCTAAAACCTGTTTAAGCTGTGATTGTGTACAACAGACTTTACTTTCTTATTTTTTTTATGTGTGTGTGTGTGCCAGGAATTGAACCCAGGGGTGCTTCAACATTGAGACACATCTCCAGCTCTTTTTTTATATTTTATTTACAGATAGGGTCTCACTTAGTTGCTTAGGGCCTCGCTAAATTGCTGAGGCTATCTTTGAACTCCCGATCCTACCACCTCAGCCTCCTAAGCCACTGAGATTACAGGCATGCATCACCACGCCTGGCACAAGGACCTTTTCTTGGTCCCTCAATAAGACTTGCCACAGTGAAGGAAGATATTCTGGGAATCATTTAAATCAAGTAAATAATTCATTAAACACAGTATTTCACCTAATAAAAATTTGGTCACACTTTCCACAACCCATTAAGATAAAGCTGTATGGGGAGAGCCAAGTTGAGAATAACCATCTTTATAAAATAACTCAAAAGAATGAAAAATGCTCATATATACACATGAGTTGGGCTGATGGGCAATAAAGATAGTAATAGTAGCAGCTCTCTCATGCTCATTCTCTCATTGCGTCCTTATGAAAACCCATAAATAGGAAGGATTTGGACGTCTAGTCTCCTGGTAGAGCTGTGGGGTTATAACCATGCAAAATAAGCTGAGAGCCAGGAGGGCCAGATGGGTAGAGCACTGCATGGGCATCTTGTGGCCTGAACCACTAACACCATCTGACTGTGAATCCTTTACTCAAGCTGCTTCCACAGTTGCTGAGTGGTTCAGATAGAATCCTGGACATGCATACACATTGAAGTGTAGACAGTATGTGAAGGTCACATGTCTTACAGCATGCTGACCCTGAACTGGGACCAATAATGTTTGGGGTCCAAAAACTGACCTTCCTCATATCCATTTCTGTTAAGCAATACTCCAGGATTTCTAGTCAGTCTTCACATTCACATACCAAGAATAAAACATGGCCATAACAAGGCAAAATAAATATTTATTAGAAATCAAAAAGGCATTTCTTCAATGGAACTAAAATATTTTCACTCTTTTTATGACTTCTTTCTTGAAAATAGCTTCACACAAATGCACACAACATTAAAAATATGACTATAAATTACAACTTACAAGATTCAGGCATCATTGGTGAGAATGGGGTGACAATTCTGTGTTTGGAACCAAGTTCACAGGAAAAAAAAAAGTAAATTGATACAGACATCAAGTATGGTTTACAGGCCTGGATAACAACCCATCCCCCTGGGCCCCACCCAGAGCAGAGGATACAGTTCATCCAGCCTTGAGGAAGGAAAGGAATGTCAATAATACTGCACTCTCTTGGGCAGGTGCCTTTAAGAGCTGAATGGCTTCACAGTACAACCTGGCACATCCCAGGGAGGAAGGTAAGCACCCTATTTATCCTAAACAGACATATGACATAATGTCTACAATAATGAATTCTTCCTGAGACAAACAGCATTGCAGCCAAACATAGCCTGAGCCTGGGAGATTCCATCACTGGGAAAAGCCTTCCCCTTCAGTGACTGAAATGTAAATCATGGAGTTTGAAGATATCTCGATAGGCTCAGGGGTTGGTGGGGTGTGTATGTGTGTGTGATTTTTGTGCACAACTGTGTGCACACTTGAATTTTAGACTAGTCACGGGGATTATAGGGACAATGCTGACTGCCAAAGTGTCATCAGAGCAAAATCCCTAGCCCTCTGACATGTGCCAACCACAAAGATAGACTTAAATTTACTAAATAACTGTGCTAAAAACATTGATAAGGGAGATATCTGTGACATAAAATTAGGACATTCCAGCCTCAACAACTCTGATATGATGTCCTCCGTGTTCCTTTTAGAGCTTTAGGTTCCAGGTATAAAATTGCCCAATTTTTTTTTTTTTTTTGCCCAATTATTATCATTATTATTATTATTTTGCTTTTGCCCAAGTGGAAAATGGTTTTACCCATTAAAATCTAAGTCAAATCAGTTCTGGAATTCCCAGATCCATAATGTAGTACATGGCACCATGGATCCAATGACTGCCCTTCAAGGCCAGCACATCTGTTCAGGATCAATGCAAGGAGGCCACTCCAGCTCTAGAATATTGATTTCTAGACTCTCCAGGCTGAAAGGAATCTTAAAATTCCTCCTATTACTTTCTTTAACAACACCTCCAGTAAGTGTTCACCCAGCTTCTGCTTAAACATCTCTAACATCTGGAGCAGGTAGGGACTGAATGAAACCAGAATCTTTCTCTAGTTTTTGACTAGTTCTGACCATCTGGAACACATCTGCTCCTTCTGCCTCCATGATGTCTCCCTCAAGTCTTCCCTTCTCTGGAGACACCTGGCTAGCCCTCTTCACCCAGTTCACACTTGAGCCTGGTCTGACTGTTACCCTCGGAGCATCTGTTGACTCCCTGGGAAGCTGGGAATGCAGGAGCTGGGGCAGATCTTGCAGTTCTCAGTGCTGCACCCCTCTCTGCACCTGGCCCATCAGGTCAGACATGGAGGCCAGTTTTTCTACCTACCTAAGCTGACAGAGCAGCCCAGAATGGAGAAACTGGCCCAGAGGAGGCTGCTCAGCCTGGACTCAGTTTACCTTAAGTTTAACTTGCCAATTGCCAAGTTATCTGAAGGCCCCATTTAAAAATCAAAATTCATAGTGACCATCTTTATAATTCTACCTCAAAAATTCCTACATGAATCCTTTCACTGAATAACAGAGGAGAGTGCTTTGTTGGTTGGTTGGGCTCTAGCCACCTGGGAAAATTTCTTCAGTCTCCACCTCTGCCTCAAAACTCTGTGGAATTTCAGAGGACAGAAAATCTGAGGGTGAGGATCTAAAAATAGGCCCCAAGTCTTGGCCAAATCCTCCTCTCATGAGCCTTCCCCTTCAGCCTCAAAATTCACAGTGAACAAAATACTTACTACCGGAGCATTTCAATAATTTTGCTAAATTCCCCAAGGAGAAATAACTGTTGTACACTAGTTGCCTCAGAGATTGAAAACCACATAAATAGAACAGCTGCTATTTCTGTCCCAGCTCAGAAGCATGCCCTATGGCAAGGCCCGAGGGGGAAGGAGCCAAGCCCTTTCACCCAGATCACAGCACATCTCCTGCAGACCTCCTGTGAATAAAGAAAAGCTTATTGTTGGGCTCTGGCCACCCTGAGGCCAAGTATATAATGTATATCCAGCCCCAAAGCTCAAGATCTACTTCTCAACTTTTAAATTCACCTACTTCACCTAAAGTGATTTGCATTCAAAAATGAAATGTCTTTTCTATTTTAAAATTAAAACACTGTGTTAATTACACTACTAAAAACATCTCTTGGTTTGAGATGGTTTGAGCCCTGGGTTTCATTCCAAGGATGGTTTCCTGTTACCTGAAGGTTCTAGAAAGGCATGTCCACAGCTCATTCCCCTCCTCCTCCAGGATATCCGATTTGACTCAATCCCTTGCACATCCTGGGATGGGATCTAAAGTCTCCCACAAATTCACGTGACCCAGTCACAGTACTAAGGGAGATGGTAGAATCTGTGGTCTGGGAAAGATTGCCCTCCCTGCCCTTCAGGCCTCTGCCCCTTCCTCAACACCTGTCATCCCAGCCAAGATGACCTGGTCAAACCAGAGACTTCACCCAGACTTTAGGAGCCTCCTGGGCTCAGGACCGTGGGCCTACTGAACATCAAAATCCAAGTTGTTTCCCTCTTGGACTCTGACAGCTGCCTCTCAGAGAGTCACCCGCTCAGCCTGAAGAGCTTTCTGCTTCTCTTCTTGTCCGCCACTCTGCACAGCCCCATGGCACAGAATCCAGGACTCAGCCTGCAGCATCTAACATCCCATGCTCACACCAGCTCTGGGTTCTGCTTCTACACTGAAGTTTCTGGAAATTCATCCATTTCGTCAAACGCATTGAGAGTGGTTTTGCTGTTGTTTCTGGAAGAATCTTGGATTTTGTTGATATCTGCTTTTAAAAAAGAAAGGCTATTTTAGATGTACATCACTCTGCATACCACATTTCCATGTCTTAGAGTACCACCTAATTTTTAAAAGTTAGAGTGATAGAGGCCCTAAGAACCAATTTAATTCACTCTCCCATTTTATAGCTGGGGACAATCAGGCCGTCAGAGTTGATATGCACAAGGTCACATGGTCAAAGAGAAATGGGCCCCCACCACCTCACAGCAACAGTACCTGTCCGTTTGATGGGTCCCGGATCTTCGTTAAGGAAGGAGACATGGGTTTTCCATTCGGTCCACTTCACCTCATTGATCCTACAAGTGTGGTCATCATTTTCACTACTTCACAACTACACTTCATCAAATGCAAACAAATAGACTGCATTCGGGATGTCCTGGTTTCCATACAGCTCCCCTTCTGTGCATCCCAGAGATCCAGCACACCCCTGCCCCATCCAGGCACACTAGCATGGTGAGGGTTTGGAACCCACCCAAGTCCCATTTTTCCCTGGCCTAGAGGTGAGGTAGGAGTGTAGGGATGCCAAGGTGACAGAGGCAGGACTCAGGAAAAACGCTTGCTGAAGTACAAGACAGGGAGATGACTCATCATATTCCTGTTTAGGATAAGTCCCGTTACCATGGCAACTACAGCACTAGAGGACTTATCACCATAGCAATTCCCACCACAAGTTGTGTATCCCAATTAGGTGGAAATAAAGTGACCAACAAAAACAAATAGGGCAGGGTCTCCAATCAGGTCCACAGGAAAGAAATTTAAGAGACTCTATGACATTGGCCTTGAGCCATTTTCTCCCAATCGGCCGGCTCCAATTTAACGATGTACTTTAACTTTTGATAAATCTTCGCTATGGCTGCTTCTCCTTGCTCAATTCTCTATTCAAAACACCAAGGACCTGGACCCCAGTTGGACCCTTCACCACTTTTTGGACCAAAAGTGTCCAAATCAGACACTTTTCTTAAGGTGTAGATTACAGCCAGACATGATGGTTTTCAGGGGTTTGGAAGTGCAGTCAAGACAAGTAAGTACAGTTCCACTCAAAAAAGATGTCGACAGGGTCAGGAAGTCAGGTAGTAGTTAGGAAGAGATATGTTTATCCAAAAAGGTGGCCGTGGGATGAAAGAGGTCTGTTTTTAAAAGTCAGAAAGCTTGAGAACTATGGAAAGTAACTCACTTTCTGTTTGGCAATGACAAATGTGCCCCCAAGTCCTAGGGTGTCACATGAACTCACATAGTATAGACAGGACAAAGGCTATCAGGTTGGCAAATATCCTCAAAGTCAGACAGAGAAGGCCACAGAGACACATTCAAAAGAGCAGAGGGGGACCCCCACCAGCCAGCCTCAGTCTCCTTCTGACTCCCTTCTGAAGCTCAGGCACCTCATCCCAGGCCTGTGCCCACATAAGAGCAAATCCCACTTTCTGAGGAGCCACAAGGCAGGTGTGTCTTGGCAAGTGAGTGTCAACTGTGCTTCTCTACCACACCGCTGTCCACTGACTCATCCCTCTGTCCACCCAAGGGCCTTCCCCTCCCTTACCGCAGGCACAGCCGGAAGTCTCCCTCTGCGACTTTACACAGCTCTCCCATCCGGAATCGGCTTCTCAGCCATTCTGGTAACATTTTCTCAAACTCCAAGATTGTCCTGGCTCTCTGGGGGAAAAAAACAAGCCTCAGCTCTTTGCTCAGAGCCCAGCTCCATAGGAGCACGCACACACACACACACACACACACACACACACACACACACAAACCATCAAACAGTCCCCTGCAGCCTCGCTGGAGGCTTAATACATAGATCCTGAGCTAACCTACAGAATTCAAACACAAAAAAGCAGAAAGTTTGAGAAAGAGATTTGAGTTAAATAATGTCAGAGATTTGATGTAAATAATGTCTCTGAAAGTCCAGGAGCCTCCTATCTGAAAATGTTAGGATCCTGGAATCTCATCTGGGGGAAGTTCAGAGGTCATGTAGTCCCACACCTCCTCCCAGGTTTGGAATTCCCTCTGCAGTTCTCCTGCTCATAATTTGCCCAGTTGCTCCTGAACATCTTTGACAGTCCCAGTTAAGAAGGTCATAATGATTAGAAATCTTCTTGTGGCAAATCAAAGACTGTCTTCCCTATCATTTCCCACCCCCACCCCATGTACCTCGTTTCTGCCTTCTGGGGCCACAGAAGGGGGCTGCTCCCTCTTTCAAGGTAGCTTGGCAGATTTCTGAAAGAACTCTCTCCTTCTTCGACCCTAGTTTCAACAACCATTTCTTATGAGGCACAGTCTCCAGTCCTCTCCCAAACCTGGTCATCATCTCTGGACCCATCCTGTGGGTTGGAGTCCTCAACAAGGGAGGAGTGTTAAGGCCAGGATAAAGCACAGTAAAAACTGTCATCTCCATTGTCCTGTAGCTTATACTTCTCTTAATGCAATCTAAGTCACACTTCAGCGTCCACAGAGCACACTGTTGACTCTGAGCGGAATATCCCCATAAGGCTGGGTTTCTCTCATACGTGCCACAGTCCCTACACCCTGTACTCAAAGAACCTGGACTAAGGCTTCCTCAGACCTGGTTTATGCAGATTCCCAGGCCCTGCCCCAGACCCAGCGGTGCTGATGGTGATTGATGACCAGGTGCTGAGCCAAGTCCCTGGGGAGCTTTCCACACCGAGTCACTGCCCAGCTCAGTTCACCTGTAGGCGCCAGATCCTCTCACTCTCCTTGGAGACATTCTCCACTGTCTCTCCCATCAGGGCGATGAGCATGTTGAGGAGGAGGACGAAGGTGAGGATGACGTAGGTGATAAGCAGGAACAGGAAGAGGATGGGGTACGTGGAGTTCTGCTGGATTTTCAGGTCACCTAGGCCTATGGTGAGCTTGAAGAGCTCTAGTACCACATCACTGAAGCTCCCGTAGGAGCTGCAGTCCTTGTTGTCCTCGGAACATTTCTCGATCAGCGAGGCCAGGGCTAAAAGGGACATAAGGGGATGCTTGCTTCTGCCTTTCTGGGTAATTACCCAACATTTGTACACGCGCGCACACACACACACACACACACACTGCAGACCTCTGCCTCTTCCCTCTGGACCCCGAAGGCCTTATCAGGCCGGTTTCTCCACCCTGAGCTCCTGCAGGAGCCTTCATGCCTAACAGAACCAAGCTCTTCTTTCCCTCCTCCACCCCCTGTTCAGCCCTTGCTCACAGGAGCACTCAACCACTGAGCCACATCCCCAGCCCTATTTTGTATTTTATTTAGAGACAGTATCTCACAGAGTTGCTGAGTGCCTCACTTTTGCTGTGCTCCTATTTTTTAAGATCATCCATCAAATCTCTGTGAACTCCAGTTTCCCCATCTGTACTACAGAGCTTAAAATGCTTGCCGGGCCTATCCTGGATTGTGAGGGCCAACGAAGATGAAGGATGTGAAAGTGGGTGGCAGTTGCCTCCGTGTGGATGGGTAAGAGTGACAGGCTGGGTCTCCCAGCCTTGGTTACTTGAGGCTTAGAGGATGGGGATATGATTCCCACTCAATCATGTTGTTGAGAGAAGTAAAAGATGCTGTTTAGAAAGCACTGAGAGCAACAGGTGCCCCACTCATCAGGAGCTGGTGTAATTGTTGCCAGGGCTGCGTGTGCTGTGTCATTTTGACATCTACATAAAGCGCTTTACAAATGCTACTATTATTTATGAAGCGATTACCTACTCCAAATCCAAGTAAGAACACGATATATACAAACAAGAACTTCAGGACATCATGCAAAATGACCTATAAAGAAACAGGATTCAAGTGTAAGGCGTGAGCACCTATTCACCATCTGCTGATCTCCTTGCTTCTTCCCTTCCTTTCCCAGCCCTGGGCCCTAACCCTGCCTTCACTCAGGCCATTCTCCCTTCCCCCAGCAGAACCCTCCTGATGCTCTAGACTCAGCTCTGCCTCTGCCTCCTCCAGGAAGCCTTCTGGTCCTGGGGTCAGCCCCAGGTTCTCTTCTCCCCCACCTCCTGAACTCAGGCCCTGTTTACCCTCTCCCTCTCCCAATAGGGTCTCCTACCTGGAGTCCTCGACCCACCTGGAAGCAGTGGCATGCTGGAGCCAGCTCATACCAGCTCCCAAGAGCTGAATGTTGAATGCTCATGAATTTTGTGAGCTGGCTGTTAGACAGTTAAATTTTTGTAAATTTTGTGAGATGTTTGTGAAACACAGTCATTTTTAAGAACTAAATCAAACTTTTCATTATAAGACAATTAAGTTCTAAAGATCTAACGTACAGCTTCAGACTGTAGTTAACAGTACCAATTTGTATATTTGAAATGTAGATTTCAAGAGTAGATTTTGAATGTTCTCAACACCACACACACACACACACACACACACACACACACACAGTAACTATGCAAGGTAATGGATGCATTAAGTAACTTGAAATGGATGATCATTTTGAGGTAGAAAACATAAGGATAGATAGAAAGGAGACATGTCAGACAAACCAAGAGTCACCATGACTTAAAGTCCAGATCTAAAGTCCACTTTACCATGGATTAAAAGTCCAGATTTAAAGGTCACTTTCACAAACTTCGGTCACAAAATAATTAAGTAAACCATTAGACTTTATTCCTTGAGTCTGTCAATAACTTCTTTCCTGACCTGGATCTAAAGGAAAAAGAAGTCTGAGGATATCTTTCTTCCACAAGTAGATATCCTTGTGATTTATATTTTTGGAATCTGATATATATATTTTGGAATCTGATTACTGCATCTACATTTCGTGCTCTTAATCGAGCCCTCAGTATTACCCCAGTGTAGTACTGTTTCAATCCACAAAGCAGATCGATAAAAACTCCATGGGGAAATTATTAGCGATTTTTCCTCAAAAACAAAGAAAGGAAAATGACCCCTGGCAGGTAATGGTTAACATATCAAGTCAGAGACCCAAAGAACTGAAAACACCCTCTTAGACCAAGTCTCTGCACTACAGATTTGACATGTATAAATATGCCTAAGACTAGTCACCCTTACCCTGTCTCTCAGAATGTCTACTACCTTCTTTCTCTCAGTAAATTCCATCTGTGTCTCACTTTGACCCATCCTTAAATTCCTTTCTGCAGTGACATCAAGGACCTTCATGGCTCAAGCTGACATTCACCTCCGTGTTGGGGAACCTTCTCAAGACCCCTGTCCTGGTGACATTTCACAATGTGTGTATGTATGTGTGTGTGTGTGTGTGTGTGTATCACTATATATATCTCACTATATATATATATATATATATATATATATATATTCATATTCCTCACACAGTACACCTTAAATTTCAATTTTATTTGTCAATGGTTTCTCAATATAGCAAAGGAAAAAGAAATCAACTTTTTTGCAAAACATAATATAAACATATTAAAAATAAAGATAATAAATGTTCAAAACTAATCATTCCCTGATTATTTTACTACATTTTACAAATATCTATGTTTTTGAGGTTTTTTTTTACCTCTGTTGTAGCCCCATGTTGGAAACACTACATAAGGATGTGTAACTGCACATCTCTTCCCAATTTCTGTCTTTGGCAACATAATGTCAGTAACAGGAAATCAGCCATGGTGGAGCTTGACAGCAGGAAGAGTGGTAAACACTACAAATCAGATTGACTCACTGTTTTATTGCTGTCTATGTGTGTATTTAAATCTGTGATAGAGAAAATGTGAAGGCAGCTTCAACTTCAAAATGTCCATAGCTGTTACATTATAAATAGCCCACAAATAGCAACAAGAGGGCCTTCCAGTATCTGCAAACAATTATCCTATTCAGGAAAGAAGTTGCCCAGCCGTGGACAAACTAGTGAAGTTTCAACTTAAGTCTTCATTGTTTCACTCTCATCTTAACTGCTTACAAAATAAAACATAAACTGGAACAACACACATTTGTCAATTGCAGTTTGGCAACAGATTTGAAAGAGTTTAATTAAAAACTAAGTATTCTGTGAGAATTAGCTATGTGGAACTTATACTAAAGCATATTGCATGCAATAAACGTATGTATTTATACACATATGCTGGTTTACACGCGCGTGCACACACACACACACACACAAATACATTACAGAGCAATTGTTACATATTTTCCAGCACACCACTGCCCAGGGATGAGAACTTCCTTCACAAAGTGTGTTCCTTCTCTACATCCAACAAGCTTGGGAATTGTAAGATGTGGACACTTAAAGTGTGACCAAAAGCCAAGGAAGACTGTGGCATTCGGGAGAAGGAGCCATGGATCGACTGCCATGTGTTAAGCCCTTTTTCTCTACAGACTTCAGTTTACCCACCTAAAAAAGACGCACCCTCTGAGGGCCCTCCCACCTGTGCAGCTCCCTGCGTACCTTCTGGATCATGACGCTGTACATGCCCATGGACTGGAAGCCGCGTGTGTAGTAGAGCATGTTCGCCCAGCCCAGGGCCATGGCCAGCACGAGGCAGGCGAGGTACTCTTTGTAGGCAAACAAGTACAAGAAGACAGACAGTATCACAAGCATAGCTTGGATAAAACTGTTCAGGAGACACAGGAGACAAGGGCCTTACTCACTTCTCAGCATCAGGGCAGAGACATTCAAATCCCTCAAACCTTAAACCCCATGAACAGTCACCCTGGGGGCCCGGACTGACAAGATAAAGGCTGCCTTGGATCCATACATCTAAACTCCAGCCTGTTGAGGACATCCCAGATGCAAGTCAGGACCAACTGTGGACTAGTTGTGACTGACAGGGACTTAAAAAAAAAATACAGCCAGGTGAGATGGTGCACACCTATAGTCCCAGAAGTTCGGGAGGGTGAGACAGGAGGATTACAAGTTCAAAGTCAATCTCAGCAACTTAGCAAGGCCCTAAGCCATTCAGTAAGATCCTGTCTCTAAATAAAATACAAAAAAGGGTGGGGATGTGGCTCAGTGATTGAGTGCCCCTGGGTTCAATCCCTGGTACAAAAAACCATTTATATATGTATATATATTTTATATATACTTTACATACATTTATTTACACACACACACACACACACACACTCACGCACGCACACACACACGCACATACACAGACCACAGGGCTCCAGGAGATTCTGACATGCAGCCCAGGAGGATGTATGGTTTTTAAAACATGATTTATGATTCCCATATAGATTTAGGAACCACTAGGCTACACCAAGGATGCAGTGAATAATTACATTTTTAACCAAAGTGAAAAATGCTGCCAACATTTATACTTAAAAATCAATCAAGTCCTTCAAAACCTACTCTTTCAAAAAAAAAAAAAGAAAGAAAGAAAAAAGCTTTAATATATGCTAACCAAAATAAGTCAGTCACAAAAAGACAAATCCTATAAGACTCCACTTACACAAAGTACCCAAAGTAATCAAATTCACAAGAGATGGAAAATAGAAGGTGGTGGCCAGGGTGTCAGAGGGAAAAAGAGAATTGTTGTTTACTAAGTACACAGTTTCAGTTTTGCAAGATTGGTTGCACAGCCAGTTGGATGTACTTCACAATTTTGAGCTGAACACTTAAAAATGGTCAAGATGCTTTTATTTTTATGTGCACTTTAGCACAATTACATTTTTAAAGTACAATATATACCACACAGAGGATATCCAAACGCACTCATCAACAGTGCATATACTCTGCCAACCATAGGGTTAAAAACACTCTCCTGCTTATAACATCTGACAGTTTCCACAATTATAAAATGCCTAACCATAATTAGGACACATAAAGCTTGTTTTTCTGGCAGAGTGGAGAACAAATGAATGATCAATTGCAGTGGGAATGAAATGAGGAAGAATGTCTCCACCTTTCTCTATGCTAACAAAACAATAAAGAATCAGAAGAACAGGGCAATGGACTGAAACCAGTAG